AAAACTTCAGAAATTTACGAGACGATGCTCGTTAAAAGCTCCAACAAGCATCCACCCAGTTCAAGCAGCATGAGGCATTTGAGAGACTAGCGCAGTAAAGATGATCTTTTCCTTCATCTAGGGGATCCGCAGGAATCAACAATGATCAACACAACTCAGCCAACCCCACACCAAAGTCAGAGTCATTGGTGAGTTGAAGCAGCATGGCGGATCAAAGGTTCGACTACTCAAAAACAGCAGCGGAGAGCAGCTAGGAGCCAACAGGCGCATTGTAGCTGGAGCAGAAGATTGAAGACTCAGCAAAGGCGAGGAGTTGCAGTGTCGACAAAGGCTTCAACGAGGACGTCGAAGGAATAAGTGGGGGAGAATGTCACGGACAAACTTCTAAACAAGATGTTTGATGTAATGCTTATGTATGTCCATGTCTTTTGGCATGTTCATGCCTTGTATAGAATGTAGAGGGGCGGCCAAAGGCTTAATAGTCCCATTTTAGTTGGGTTGGTGGCCTCTTTAGGCTTGTAAATAAAGGTTGTGTCATATGGACACGTGTGAGAGATTTTCGATCTGTAATGGACCATTTTACCCTTTGTTGTGCCACTGTTCAGAGCTTGTAAAGTCTGTTTGTAATTTGCATTGTCTATGAAGTGTTTTCGGAGATGTCTACTTGTGGATCCCGATTGAGGCGTTCTCTCTAGCCCGTTCTCTCTTTTGTTGGTCCTAAGGGACAATGGGAGGCTTCGGGGAGGCTGACCTTTGCGGACGAACACGCAAGGGTGCCGCACGACTTAGGCAAAACCAGCTAAGTCCGTGACAGAACGACACTTTTTTATGCATATTCATAAAGCTGCATGCTTCAACAAAATCTTACAACGGTTCTCATCATATTACTCAAATAGTTTTAAAAAGTATGAAATATAAAAATTTCTCAAATAAGTATAAAAAGATAAATTCAACTTAAGAATTATAAAAAAAAAATAAGAAATACAGAAAGAAAAAAATTTCTCGAAAGAGTTTAAGTATTTAAAGGTTAGACAGCTCCTACTCAATATGGCAAAGAAAGCAATAACTGATGAGTAATAATTCAACAAGAAGTCCATATAAAATACATTAAATAAATTTTGGTGATTAAGCACAAATTACATGTAAGAATGCCATTAAGATAACATCTCATTAAGACTATTTTCTGTTTGATTACTCTACTAAAGGACCTTTCTTGGTCAGTTAGTAACAACATTATTATCTCTCTTTGTATTGTTTGAATGTTCATCTCACCTCTCCTTTAGACAAACAAACACACAAAAAAAAAGACAAATGCAGTGCTATGCAGAAGTGTCACTTCTTTTCATTGGTACCAGTACATGATGAAACATTGAAATATTGAATATGCATAAGCAATATTTCCAAATTAACTTTCAGCTTAACAAAAAAAAGGAAAAAAAAGAAAGATCAGATTTTCCTAGTAAGGTTTGCAATGCTACCCAATATGGTAGCACAGGCGATAATTACTAGTCTGACAAGATACTAGTGCATAGACCGATAAGGCTCTGTACCAAGTTCTGTAATTTTGTTTTTTTAAGTCCTTAGGCTTTTTTCGAAACTCGATATGTACTAATATATCGATGCTCAGTGCATCAGTACAGTAGCAGTAACACGAAATTATGAACCTTGATTGCTAGCAAATGATAGGTTTAAGATATAAACTGCCTATCTTTTGTTCATTTTCTTGAATGATGGTAGATAACTCCACCGTGCTTCCATTTATGAGATGAAAACAGAAACAAGAACCAGCAAAAGCTAGGACACATAAGTTTAGTTTCTTGTTTAATATCTACAAGATGCATGAAGATCAATATATATGCAACTAATAAAATTCAAGGAAGCAGGAAAAAGTAATCAATTATGAGTTTGGTAAAATCAAAGTTGATTTGCTAACACTTTTTATCGGATGAACTGCAGGGAAAATTCCTTTTTAGGCATGACTGAATGGTATTCCTGCATGGGGAAGATAGTTGTGTAAGATAGCTATAAGAGATGAAATAAAATTTGGTTAATAATAAAGAAATTCAGCATAAGACATGAAAGTTAGTACAAGAGTACTATGGTAATGGTGCTAGTTGAATGCATCAGCTGATTCATCCAAGTAAAGTCAACTTTCACAAGCATTAGAAGAATCTTACATGCTATCAATAGACTGTGAGTAGCCCTCCACCATGTTGCTGGAAAGAACAAAAGAATATGTCAAAAGTTTTTTTTAACAAATAAAAACAAGAGGATTGGATGCAAGGAACATTAGAAGTTAATAGACTCACACACTCCCTTGAATACATTGCACAGGGCCCGAGCCTCCAAATGTGAAGTTATTGTAAGAGATGTCTCTGCATGTAAGTATGGAATTCAATATGTAAAGACATTGACCAGATTATCAAATAAAATTTATGATCAATTTCAGTGTGGTGAAATGATCCACAGAAGCACTGGTAACTGGACTCAACGTCATCATTGATGGTAAATGTCTTTACCCTCAAAATAATCACAACATTTCTGCTCTCTTTCATTATCAGTAAACCAAGTGTCACAAACAAAGCTAGGAAAGGTAACCCAATTTTGTAAACCTAAGATTGCAAAATTTATGTTCCACTATGAAGATTGTTACTTGTTAGATATCTACAAAGTTTAGGATTCCTAGCCAATGGTTATCATGGTCATCATTTCACAATACAGGAGCTATGCCTATGCCTCTGTAGCATGGTACAGTTCTGTGTCGTGCCTGTAGGCATTGCCCTTGTCTCAGTTATACCAGTCAGAATTGGTTTGTCATACACTGGTACACCTAACCTATGATTGGATCATAGTAATTATTCAGTATTCATCATGAAAAATACTGTTTCAGTAGTTTTTAAAAGTTCATATTTAGTTCAAGTCTTAAAAGTTCAAATGTTACCTGCAAATCAAGGGTACTTGATAATCACAAACATAGTTATCTTCGCTTTTTACCTAAACTCTTTCAGCCAACTGTTTTCCTGTTGCATTGTCTTAAACCTTTTAGCCAACAAGATAAGTTGACCTACTTCTTGGATGACCTTTTTTAGTCTTGAATTAACATGTTTTAATGATCAACAAGATTAATATGTTGTTTTAGTTATGTTATCGAATGTCATCTACATCAAGCATAGTGTTATGTCTAATAAAAATTTAATAGTGATTTTCTTTTACCTTTATTTTGTTTGTTTTCAGGTTCTTGTTACCTTTATTTTGAAAGGTCAAACTACAGAGGGAAGCCTTTTTCCAGGTGAATAGGACAAACTTCCTCAATTGCCAATAGCATTTACCATACATATACTTAACAGATTATTCTTTTGCAGTATCAACACCACTTATCAACATCATGTCCTATCAAAATGCAGCATCGGTATCAATGCTTCATTGTTCAATAGATTAACATGAGTATATTGCATGTCTATGCACTTCAATGGTAAATATTTTGGTTGCTAAAATACATACGCATTCTTGTTTCTATTCATGATCCATCCAGGGATATTCCCTGTAAGCATGTTCCCAGTTAGATATCTGCGAGACAATGATATTAAGGCTTATCAGTAACAGACTACTCTTACGAGCATCAGGAAATTAATCAATAACCAGTAACTACAAGGTAAAGTATAATTAGAACTTTCAACAGTAAAGAATACAACATACAGGAAATCCACTTTTTGCAATTTGGCAAAGGAACCTGGGATCCCACCAGTTAATCTGTTGAAGCTGAGATCTCTGCATTGAAAAGGCATGGACAGTAGTTTGTGTAAAACTCTATCTTGAGAATGGAAAGATGTCTATGTCATATACATGATGATTCTGAACCGAAAGCATTCATTAAAAGTTTATGAATATCCAGCATTGTAGAAGGTACTTAGCCTCACATGGCATTAAACCAGAAATATTCTATGCATATCCATCAATATAGAAGGTGCATATGTCATATTTTTATATATTTTGATTCTTTTTCTTACAGATGAAATATTAAACACATAAGTATATGAAATAATGCATTACTATAAACACATAAGTAGAAGGAAGTGGAACACAGAACATAAAAAATTCTTGATTTAGCTGATAAGCTCATGTCCATGGGCAAAGATGAAGATAATGCATTACTATAAACTAAATATCCCTGTACCACAAAGGGAACCCTAATTATAAAAGGGCCAACAGCTAAATCTCATGTAACTGAACCTGGTCCATGCTGAAGGGCATAGCTAAAGCAACCAAAACATAGTCGTTGGCCAAAATTACCATAAAGCATATTAAAGTTTTTTGAGCAACGGAATCCATCTTATGTGGCTTCCTCTATTGATTAGGAACTGAGATATTGATTTTCCTATACATCAACTGGTGCTTGCAACTGTTAGTGATGATCCGGAACAATACCATCAGTGCTTTAATGTTAGATAGCAACAGAAACATAAGTTTCTCAAAAAGTTTAACAAGCAAATAACTTACAGGTTCTTCAGCTTCATGTCACCAATATAAGATGGCATTTTTCCATGAATGGAGCAATTCCTTAGTGTCCTACACATGCAACACAAAAGTACTTCATATCCATCATGAACCACTTACAGAGTAAAAAAGAACTTCTATGAGATGACATGCTCACAAAGTTCTCAAGGATTTCATTCCAACCAACTCAGGGAATGTGGATATATTTCCTCTTAGATCACTGATCCTCCTAATTATCAACAAAAGAAAAGTTTAATTAGCCCTAATTGGAAGCACAAAACAAGAGTAAACCAGATGCATGTGTTAAACTCAACTTACAGATCAATAAGGCTCATTAAATTTGAAATACCAGAAGGGATGGGCCCCTCCAAAAAGCATCCCTGAATGTGCCTACATGGATGGTTAAATTGATTGAGACTCAAGCACAGTAATAATAAATGCAATAGGTTTTTTTAACAAATAGAAGGGGGATGTTTCTTACAGCTTTTCCAACTTCTTCAAATTCTTTATAAAATCAGGTATTTTGCCTGAGAAATTGTTGCTGGAGATCCTCCTATTTGTAGGAAATACATGTTTAAGAACAGAAAAATAGAATTCAACTATATATGCATGCCATAAATTTTTCCTGATGTGATGAAATCAAGAAATATAAAAGAAAATTAAACTCACAGATCGGTCAAGTTTGTCAACTTGGCAAGTGCTCTGGGCAGTTCTCCATTGAAGTTATTGGCAGATACAACACTTGAGAGGAAAGTTTATCGACATGAAACAAGTTAATTGCCATTACCTTCTTTGGTTTTCTTATTCGGATAAAGAAAATAACAAAGAAGACTGAGAAAGCTCACTCACAGTTTCTCCAAGTGAACAAGGTTCCCAAGCTCCTGAGGCAGAGGCCCATGGAAGTGGTTCCCCTCGATGCTCCTGCAAAACATTTCTATTGGCATCCACCACCAATTTCCTAACCAAATAAAATTGACAACTAGAGCAAGGGAGAATATTGTGTATGAGAAGCGTACAAATTAGTCAAGTTGGTGATCTTTGTGAGGACTATTGGAAAAGGGCCAGACAACCGATTCCCCATTAAAGACCTGCATTTCGTATGATCATGTATTCTAAAGAATGGCATTCTTAGGGCTACTCGTGCTAAGTAATCATGTGAACTAAACGAGAGACTCACAGGCCTTGCAGCCGCATCTTCTCCCATTCGTCGGGAACAGTGCCATTGAGAACATTACGACTCAGGTCCCTGGGATCAGAACAATCATCACAAACGTAAACAAATCTAATATCCTTCTTTATTGGAAGAGAAATCTATCTGCTTACAATTGCTTTAGGTAGAGAAGACTTCCAAACTCTTTCGGCAGCGCACCCGAAAGATTCTGGGATTTCAGCGAGCTGCATCAACAAAAGAGGATCATTCCAAGAACTACAGCCACCGAGAAAGAGGTAAAGGAAAAACTCCACAAGAAGATGATCCCAAGAACTGAGGAGACGAAGATCATTCCCAAGATTACATGCTAACAGCTCCCATTCAAGAAGAACATTCCGAGAACCGAAGCGACCAAGAAAGAGGATAAAGAAAGTTCCCGAGATTACATGTTAGAGACGCGGCACAGGGAGTTGTTGTTGAAGGAGCAATCGCAACCGACGCTGCTCTCGAATCCCTTCTCTCCCTGGACATTCCATTTGCCCTTGCGGCTGCACGGATCCACGTCGAAGTCCCAATTTAACTTCAGCATCGCTGCAATACGCTTAAGAGAACTCTCTGCCATTGCCAAGAAAAACAAAAGGAAAGAAAGGGAGGGGGGAAAAATCCCTCTTTTAAGAACAGAGATAAGTGGGGGTATAAAGAAAATGCAAACGATCTGCTTGCTTACTTTCATTTGGGTGAATTCTAGGAGGCTTGGACCCAAATGCGGCAAGAAGAAGGTCAGGCGAGATGAAACAGAAGGCCAATACCCACAGCCTGCAAGCGGTCGCAGTTCCTCTCATCTCCTCTTCTCTTTGCTAAGCAAGCTCTTTCTGAGCTCTGAGTTACGAACACACTGCAAGAAGAATGAGTCTTCTTAGAATGCGAGGAGGAGCGGAGCGAGACTGAGAGGGGAGCAAGGAGGGTTGGGTTTTCTTCACAGCCATCACCCACATCAGTGTCAGCTTGATTACGCGCGACATCAAGGAGGCTTCTGTGTCATCTTCTGTTATTCACTCTCCCCCTTGAGACCTCAATTACTATTGTATGCGGAAGACAATGACTCGGGTACAGTGGGATTCCAGTACAAAAATCCTCATCGTTTGAGACAATAAGTCCCCATTGTGACCATCCAATAAGTGCTACAGTCGCTCCCCGCTCCACATGCATCTCAGCTGCATTGGTTTTCACAGTATATGCGGGGGAGACATCGGAGCCCAACTCAGTCCCTTTCCTCTGTCATCTATCCTAAATCTATCGTCTTGCACATGCAATGAATGGCCCTGCAAGATGAGAACCAAGTCAACCCATTCACACTCCATTTTGGCAACTTTTCTCTTATCAAAACCTTGTCAGTCTTGCTATTTATTTTTTATTGTCTCCCTCGCTCTCAGCGGCCACAGACGAATAAATCCTTCTTCATGACCCATGTCTCCTTTTATCAAAGCGCAACAACAAGAGGAAGAGGCTGCCATTGCTTTGAAACACCAGTGACTGCAACATCATGACATTATTCCATGACAAGCCAAATTGCATTTCCCCGGTGATTGGACAAGCATTGCTCCTCATCAGGCACTTGATATAGATAGCTATTTTCTGCGCTTCCCATCTCGTTGCCGACATCTGAGGTGACTTGCCTGCCACTTGGAGGTCAAAGCTAGCGTTCGAACTTTGACCAGAAATAAAAGGGCAGCCATCTTGAATTGCTAGCTCAGCCGGACGACTGACCTGCAGAACTGGACATCCGCGCCGCCGCGCATTCTGGACCACCACGAACCGCGTCTGCCATGATTGAGAGATTAGAGAATGTAAATCAATGTTGGGTGATTAACCTATCAGGCATTTTCATGACAGAGACTGGCCTCGTTATATCTATAGAGAGAGAGAGAGAGATTGGCGTCTTCATTTGCAAATAAGAAGGATTACTTGCTGTGGTGGTTAGGAGTCATATCGCGGCATTCTTAACCTACATCAGATTAGTCGTCAATAAGTTGAATCGGGTGCAGTATATTTCCATGGGAGGATGCTGATATGACCTCCCTTCTGTTACCTTGATGTATATACTTGATGCAGTAGAACTAGTCAACCGGCACGATCAAGGATACATAATCAAAGGTGTCGGGTTGTGTATGGGTCGAGAAAGCCACTGGATTAACTGACCAAGTGGATACCACAGGTACATGAGATGACAATGACTTCCCTAATAATGCAGTCGACGAGTTGACTCTAGAATGAGGGGTACGATCGGTTCGGTAGGCATCTATGTCGCATTTAATGTACGGTCCACATGTTTGACCAACACTTTGCGGTGGATCGTTGGTCAAACCTACGCCCATCATATAACCAGAATGAACGCAGGGAAGCCAATCCAGGTTTTTTGTGCCGCTTACGTGAAAGCCTAAGAAGCCCAATAAAGACCCAGTCTGGGTCCAATGACGTCAAGCTCGGCGCGGTGGCTGAGTGGGCTCGAGCCGTAGCTCAAATTGGCCGGGCTTAGCGCAGAACCAGGATGGTCTTATGCTTCCTTTGCTGACGCCAACACAGAAACACCTTTTCTCTGTGAGGTTTGGCCTCACCGTCATATAAATGGAGGACATAGCAGCTTAGATCTGCCGTGTATCTGAGGATGATAGAGCTCGGTTCCCAAATGATTGCTGCAGCCTCACAATTCTCGTGCAGCAGCCGGGAAAGCTGATGAACGATGATCCAAACACAGCAATTCTAATCCTCACCTACGGTGGTCCAACTAAAGGAAAGTTGTGATGAGGAAGACGCACGCATATAAAATATTATGGGGAGAGTTGCAGCTCGACCGCGCGGAGTCCGGCGGCATGCGCCCATTCGTCTATCTTCGCATTCTTTCCATGTGCATCCAAAGGCACCTCCCACCAACTCCAATTATTTCCATCTTCTCTGATTATTTTTATTTTCCCCCAACTTTTGTTTTCTTTTCGTTACTTGTATATATATCATATTTCCAGAATCCAAGATTCAAAACATATATATATATA